TTTTCCTGCTTTGGGGCCCAGAGCCCAGGAGGCCTCCTGGCTTCAGCTTGGCTCACACTTTGTGTTCCTGTTAGATTTTTGATCTATAGAGATGTTTAACATGTTTTGGGATGTAGGTATGTTGATGATTTGTTTTTATATTTTATCTGGAATTTCTCTGTTTGTTGCCAAGACAGGGGAGCCACAAAGAATGAACAATGCCACTGATGTTAAAATAAGCCCCAAAGCCCTGGCCAGTGTTGCTCAGTGTTCAAAGTGTCAAACTGCGACCTGAAGGCTCTTGGGTTCGATTTCTAGTCAAGGGCATGTATCTGGGTTTTGGGTTCGCTCCCATCCCCTGGTCTGGATGTTTGCTGGAGGCAACCAGTTGATGTGTTTCCCTCACATCGATGTTTCTCTCTCTGTCCCTCTTCTCCCTCCCTCCTTTACACTCTCTCTGAAAAATCAATGGAATAAATATATTCTCTGGTGATGATTAACAAATCAACAAATAGAGCCCAATGTCCTTATTTCACTTTTAAGATTAAAAGAAAAAAAATCAGTTTCTGCTTAGTTCCCTAGTTCCTAGAGTTCCTCTCTGTCATCCTTGTATCACTCAGCTGGTTAGTGAGTCCCATTGCACTTCCTCTCCATAGCACTCTGCTTGCCTCATTCTGGTACCTATCATAGTGTATTAAAATCACCTGCTTATTCATTCTTATCTAATCTATAGATTCTTGAGGGCACAATTTTATTCCTAGTGCTAAACACTATTCCTGGCACTTAATGGTGTTCAATAAATAGTGCATAGATTTGGGTGTTTCTAAGTAATGTCCTTAGTATGTGGTAGTTATTCCACATATTTTAAGGTGAAATTTGAGCTATTGCCCTGAAGAGACAGAGACAGAGATAGACAGAAGGAGACAGAGAGTGAGAGAGAAAGAAGGTGGGGGGGGGGGGGGGGGGGGGAGAGGGAGAGAGACAGAGACAGGATGAAGCATTCCAAGTAGGTGGAGCTGTGTAAGAGTTATACGAAGGTTTGACTACTGGTAGTTGTTACCAAGTAGTTGAACATTCTGGAGATTAGAGATAGGAAAGGCCAGGCCATGTACATTCCAGGAAGTTTGAAAT